AATGTGCTCTTTTTTATGTAAAAAAAAAAAAAAAAAAAAAAAAAACTGTTGTGGTCAGTATTAATATAAAAAAAAAATTCACTGAACCTCACCACTTCGTCGCTTGCTATTTAATGTGGTAATAATTGAGTTTGTTCCAATTTGAGAAGAGTGACAGTTAAAGTTGTGAGGAAGATTTGATAAAGAAGTTAAAAAATAAAAATAAAAAAGGTAAGATGGCCCCGCGTGATGAAAGTCACATATCCTGGATATATGTATACCTGTCATGATCCTGAAGGAGCCGTACTCACAGTAATTACGTCTGCAAAAATTGAATACAATTAACCAAGGTAGACGAAACTCATTCACTCGCATCATATAGTAATCAATAGTGTGTCACCTTTTTCACGTTATATAATCTATTGTGATGCACCACCCCTCCCTCACTCATTCATTGTTTTCTTCTCACTATCACTAACAAGTAACAATGCAGCTAATAACAGACCTCATTCTCCTGGCTCTGGCCTTCCTCTTCCTCCGCTGCTGGTGGCGCTACTGCTCCACCACCGGCGCAGGGCCCAAGAACCTCCCGCCAGGCCCGCCGGGGTGGCCCGTCGTCGGGAACCTCTTCCAAGTCATCCTGCAGCGCCGCCACTTCATCTACGTGGTCCGCGATTTACGTAAAAAGTACGGCCCCATCTTCAGCATGCAGATGGGCCAGCGCACGTTGATCATCGTGACCAGCGCGGACCTGATCCACGAGGCCCTAATCCAGCGAGGCCCGCAGTTCGCGAGCCGGCCCAAAGACTCCCCCATCCGGCTCCTCTTCAGCATGGGGAAGTGCGCCATCAACTCCGCGGAGTACGGCCCGCTGTGGCGCACTCTGAGGAGAAACTTTGTGAGCGAGATGATCAGCCCGCTGCGGATAAAGCAGTGCGGGTGGATACGAAAATGGGCCATGGAGGCCCACATGAGGAGGATCCAGAAGGAGGCCCGGGAGTTGGGCTTGGTGGAGGTGATGAGCAACTGCAGACTCACCATCTGCAGCATCCTCATCTGCCTCTGCTTCGGCGCCAAGATCGAGGAGAACCGAATCAAAAGCATAGAGAGCATTCTGAAAGACGTCATGCTCATCACGCTTCCCAAGCTTCCAGACTTCTTGCCCGTTTTCACGCCCTTGTTCCGCCGCCAGGTCAAGGAAGCCAAGGACCTCAGGAAGAGACAGGTTGAGCTCTTGGCGCCGTTGATTCGCAACCGCAAGGCTTACGTCCAGGGCAAGTTCGAGGGTGCTCACATGGCCAGTCCTGTTGGCGCTGCTTACGTGGACTCCTTGTTCGGCTTGGAGGTTCCCGGTCGTGGACGCTTGGGGGAGGAGGAGCTTGTCACGCTGGTCTCCGAGGTTATCAGCGCCGGGACGGACACCAGCGCCACCGCGCTCGAATGGGCGCTGCTTCATTTAGTTATGGACCAGGAGATTCAGGAGAGATTGTATAGAGAGATTGTGGAGTGTGTGGGGAAGGACGGTGTGGTTACGGAGAGTGACGTGGAGAAGATGCCTTACCTGAGCGCCGTCGTCAAGGAGACTTTCCGGCGCCACCCGCCCAGCCACTTTGTCTTGTCGCACGCCGCCACCGAGGAGACCAAGCTCGGCGGGTATACCATCCCGAAGGAGGCGAGTGTGGAGTTTTACACGGCGTGGTTGACGGAGGATCCGAATATGTGGAAGGATCCGAATGAGTTCCGACCCGAGAGGTTTTTAACCGGGGATGGGGTTGACGTGGACGTGACGGGGACGAAAGGGGTGAAGATGATGCCGTTCGGCATCGGAAGGAGGATTTGTCCAGCTTGGAGTCTTGGCATTCTGCACATAAACTTGTTGCTGGCTAAAATGGTGCATGCTTTTCACTGGTTGCCCATACCCAATAACCCCCCCGACCCCACTGAGACTTTCGCTTTCACTGTTGTCATGAAGAACCCTCTCAAGGCTGTTATTGTGCCCAGATCCATTTACTGAAAACGTGCGTGATAAAATAACATGCGCAGAAACGAGGTACCTAGGTTCTTTTTTATTGGCTGTTCCCGATGATTGCTCATCCTTGCACTTCCCATCAATTTCTATATTATTTATAAATAGGCTAATAGATATTTAGTCATAGTATATGGTATAAATATATTGCACATGCAATTTTCTTCTTCCAATGTGCGTCTCTGCTACATAATGAAGGTCATCTAATCATATATTATATATATATAGTATACTATCCAACTTTTTTTATTTGCGTCCCATGTTGGGCTCATCAAACTCTACGCCTATATCTATGTCCTTCCATTTTGAAGACCAAAATTTTCTTAATTATATCTATTGCAATATGAGATAAGAGCCTGTGTTTTTTTGGCATATCAACATAGTAAGTACGTAAGATATGATTAAATGTTTGGGATACTCTAGAATGGATTGTATACCTGTCCTGGTCCTCGCTAATTTATGCATCGCATGTACATAGAAAACTTGTAAAAAATAACCCAACTAAAAAGGAAAGATAATAAAGAGGGTAGTTCAACTGTTAAAATGTAGTGAAGAAAATTAAAAATTATACATAAGAGAAAATAATTTTGGATTATCCCGGTCTGTAATTTATCTAATATATTATTTTATTTAACTTCTACACACTTCATATTATAGAACGAAGATGAGTGAGTTATCACATGTTTGTAATCAAGATGTATTATCCAAGGAATTTTGGTAAAAAATTACTATTTGTAAGTGACTTAATTTTTTTATTTAAAATAGTTCATCACTTTTTCAACTAAGGACTTATATCAAATGATAAGTCTAATAATTAATGATCATGATCGAATACCAAAATACATTATCTAATAATAACATGAAATTTCAACAAAATCTCGTTATTTTGGTGTCTGGTCTAAGACAATATAATTGGTTTGTATAAAATTTCTATGGTAAGAAAAAGATAGACAGGACACACTTTTGAATGTTCTTACTTTGAATAAACAATTAAGTTATCTCTAATACATTTTTTAAATTGAAACAAATTTATATAATGATAATGTAAACATTACAAAAAAGATTAATTAACATATAGTGATAGATAAAAATTATGAGACTTATAGACGATTTATTCATTTATTATGAGTTGTATAACAATAACCTTTAAAATTATAAATATTTGAGTTTCATTTAAATTAAATATTTATAGATAAAAAATATTTTTTTTTTATTTTACACACACTCATGTATGTAAAAATAAAATATCTGGAAGTATAAGTTATTTTTCTTGTACGGAAAATAATTTTATATTATTATATAGTTATGAATTGTTATAATTATTTTTATTTTATATTTTTTCTAAATCATCCCTATTATTTTTTTCATATTAATAATACGTAAAAATTAAACTAGACAAATATTAAAAAAATTTGTTTAGACATGATTTATGATAGAATATTGCTACATTATTTGATTTATAAAATTGACCTACGTAATCGAAGAAGTGTTGATAGTTTTGTTGACTTTATTTTTAAATTTGATTTATAAGTATCTATGAAAATTATTATTTTATTAATTGTAATTTTTAAAGTCTAATTAATATTAGATTTTTAGAAATATAATAATATGACATTTTTTTTGGTATATTGAAATATAGTAATATGACCGTTATAATTTTAATTACTATTAAATTATTGATATTTTAAAATTAATTAGTTTTTATTTTCGTGATTAATTATAATTACAATTATCGTTATATATACTAGTAAGGTCGAGGCACTTGTGTCTCTATTAAAAATAGAATAAAAATAAAAATTAAATAATAAAAGTATATTGATCTAATTAGTATTATGATTAATTTACTAATGTTAAATTTTTAAATTTGATTAAAAAATATTTTTAAATTTTTTTAAAATAAAAATGTATAATAGTAAAAAATAAAAAAGTTGAGACCAAAATTATTATTAAAAAGGGTATTCCCTTATATATTAGTATAGATATAATTAATGTTTTATTTGAATAAGTATTTGTTATTTGATAAAAATATGTTATTTCATGGAGAAATGGATAAGAATATAAACTCTGATTCCACTTTGGCATTGTAACTGATCTCCTTTGATTATTCTCTATGCCTCCATCTTGAATAATATAAAGTACTAGATGAATCGAAATTGGAACCATACCTTCATGCACATCTTGAGGATGATTGCCTGCCCAAACATGGTGCATTTTCTACAACTTGCTCGACAAATTAAAAGTCCAAATATTGCCCTTTACAATTACTTCCTGCTTTTGAAGCTGATGACACTCGTGGTGTGCTCTTTGTTAAGTTGTGGTCTTTTTTTCCTTGTTTTGGCTCTTTGTTTTTATATTTCAAATTTGATCACACAAAAAAAAAGTCTCTCTTTCTTTAAAAAAAAAAAGTCTTTCCCATTTTGTATCTGCTTCGCTAACTTTTAAAATGTATGGTTTAGAGTTTATATGTAGGGTGGGTTGATGGATTTGGGTTCGCGGTTTAATATGTAAGTTGATGAATTTTGTAGATAATTAATCTGTTTTTTTTTTAATTTGTATGATTATGTTTAGTTTTTTAGTTTGATACATGAAATCTGTGGACTCATAGGCTAGTTTGCAAACTTTGGTAATTAAAATTTTAATATTAAATTATATATTTAATCTTTTAAATTATTGTGACATTAAAACTATATTTAATTGGTATATATTTGTTATTTGAATAATTTTTATGACATTTTGATACTTTTATTATTGAAAGTTTGATATTATTATATAAGTATTTAAAATTATTTTTATTTTAATATTTTAATATTTAGTACTTTAAATCATTTTAACTATTAATAAACTTTAATGTGATGAAATTTAGCTTATAAATAAAAAAAGATTTATTTTCTTTCAATTTTATGCATTTTTATTTTAAATATATATTTTTTGAATCATTATTTAGATTCACAGATTGATCCGCTTATCCGTGAATTTTGACAGACCAAATACGGACATGAAAAATAAGTCCATTTATTTTATTGATTAGATTTATTCAAATCCGCATAAAACATGAATTTTATAGTTCGAACCTTAAACGGGCCAAACTATTCTGTATACCTACTCCTAATTATTACAATACACAAATTGTCAATTTTTACCAAAACTCGTGACTTTTCACAATTAAAAAAAAAGTTATTTATATGTCAATTGTAATGACCTAATAGAGAACTCAATATTCTTATTTTAAAATTAATTTTGATTTACTTACCCTTCTAATATATATATCATGTAATATCTCGTATCATCATATTGAACTAAAATAAATAAATTTAATTTAAAAAATTATTATTTAATTTATTTTTTTATCTATCAAAACTACAATAACAATATCATGATTCTTGATATTATATGCATATTATCATAATTTCCGTAATAATTTAATTTAATTATGAAAACAAGTATATATTTTCACATTTCAACATGAGATAACGTAAACTTTCTGGATTCATTTTCTCTTTAATTGATGTAACATATGATATTTTACTAGATGTAAACAGTGGTTTCTTTTTTTATATATTGGTTTCATAATTGATTTGGTTGATATTTACTTTTTAGGTCAACAGTTTCCATATGTCTTGGAATTAATTTAGAAAATAAATAATAACCAATGTAGAAAATATATTTTTTTAAATAGTGTCGAAGTGAACCAATAATGTTTTTCAATTTTACTGTAAATTGGTTTGATAGTTGAAATACTCAACTAGCTACCACCATTGAATCACATATTATTAAAGAATATGATTTAGAATTGTCAAAGGAAAATATTTTTGAAGCATAATTAGTTAAAACTTAGTAAAATTTGTTACGGTAAAAATAACATGACATGTAACTTTTGAATAAGTTTTACTAGTTTAAGACTATTTAATTAGTATTTTTTTACTTAATTATACTTTTAATTTTTATTTTATAGTTAATTTATAATTTTGATCATTTTATCTCAAATAAAAGATATCTAGTTATCTTACTTATAAAGATATAAATTTTTTTATCTTATCATGAATTTTAAATATTCATTAATTATTACTTCATCTATGAAAGCTGACTTATACCTATCACTACTTAAGTGAGATGACTTTTAGAAATAAAAAATGCTGCATTCTTTCTTATATACTACGCTCTCTAAACTTAAATAAGCAAAAAGTGCTTAATTTTTTTTTTATTGAAGTATAAATAAATTTTAATTCAATCAACCTTCTTTAATGTTTTTAATTCAAAAATATATTTAAAGTAATAAATGAGATATTATTTATCATGAATGTGGTTAAGGACATCTCCAATGCAAGCAACTCATTTGAGTTGCTTCATGCATTAAAAAATATAAAAAAAAATGGTCTCTAGTGTGTGTGTCATGTCAACATTAAACAACTCAAACACAAATTTACTCAAATGGTAAGAAATTTTAAGAAATTCAACTTTTAGAATTTTTTTTCTAATCATTTATGAACCAAATTTAAATTTTTATTAAAAAAGATAATTGCACTACGATGAAAGAAAATAAATTACGAGAAAAAATACACAATAAGTAGATATTAAAAATAAAATAAAGCAATAGTAAATACATAAACATTATACGAAATTAATTTTCATCATTATTATTTTTGAAACGTTCCCAAATATGTTAAATAAGATCTGCTTGAAATCTGGTAAAGAACGATTGCTTGAAGAATCAACTCTCTCCCTTCTTCAAGCAACTCGTGTTGCCACGTCAGAATTCTCTAATGACAAAAAATCGAAACTTGAGTTGTTTCCTATTGGAGTTACTCTAAGAATGTTTTAGCAAACATAATGTATATTTTATGTGAACTTATAAAAATTAAATGCATTTAACGAACATTTTTAATTTATGTAAGATTAGTTATATTTGTTTATACATAGATTCAAAGAAAGTATTGTAAGATTTAAACACTTAATTTCCTAATATTTAAAAAAATAATTAATTTAGTTGATAACAATGTTTTTTTTTTCTCTTTCATAACTATCCTTGTACTATTTTTGTAATCTCAACTAATACTTTCCTTTCTCTTAACCAATTAGAGTGCATGTTATATATTAATTTTCTTTCATGATTAATATTATTTACTCTTATGAACAAACACATGCCTTTTAAAGAATATAATTAATGTATTCTATCGAATTAAAAACATGTTTTAAATAAGATATTTTAGTCTAAAATAATTAATACATCAAATAATCAGATATTATGAAAAAGAATAAACAATTAATTTAAATTGATTATTAAAAATAAAAACAAATATAATAATAAATAATATAAATTTTTATTTATATTTATTTTAATGAATAATTAGTATTTATTTCATTATTCCTTTGCCTCATTTGTATTTTTTTAAAAAATTTAAATGTCATGTCACCAATTCTAAACTATTTAAGAGGTAAGAAGTTATACAGCTGAATCAACAAATGATGAACATTAAATTGATAATCAAACAAAAATTATGCATTCACTAATCCTTGTGTAAGGTGTTTTTTGAAAATAAGAATGATAAATATAAATCATAAAATATTTCTCTCTCTCTATATATATATATAT